AATGCTTTGGATAGTGTTTGTAGGAATTCGTAACTGGATTAAAATATCCTTTTCTTTGAGTAGCAGCGTGAAATTCAGATAGACATGTGGACGTCTTTAAACTCCAACAATTATATTATAAATGCACTAAAAAGTTAAGTAAGTGAGCAAAGGATATGTGTAGATGGTAACATAAAATTAGCAGCATGTCTGTGAAAGATTTCCCCATGTGCTTGCTCTAACTTCACTATTGATATATATCTTAAGATGGCCAAGTTTAGTTTGTGAATACTTGGTTCTCATCTTTCTCGCATCATCAAGTTCATACGTAGTTAAGAGAATAATAATTGAATAGCATTGAAGTCCTAGGCAGATTTGTTGTTTAATTCTAGAATCACCCAACACCTCATGTTTTAAAATTAAGTTCCAGCTTCCATTTCTTAGCACAAATACAAGAAAAATCAAGCACAAAAAAAACACTGAGCCATGTGCATGTCATATATTGCATATATGATGCCTGCTTATTTAAGGCAACCTGTGGGAGGCAAAGGGTTCATGCTTCAGACCTGATCTGGAACCACTGATTTTATCTATAGATTTTGTAGAAACCTCTGCATTGATTTGAAGGACAGACCCCAGAATGTGCAGGAAGCACCAGAGAATTTTATTAGATGTTGCCTTAAAGTTTTTTGTGCTGTTGCTCCAATGTTCCATTGCTTATGGTTGTAAGAAGTCATAGATATGGAAGCAGCAGAAAGAGCAGCACGCTCAGCCCGAGCAGAGGCAAGTGCCACGCTCAAAGCAAAGGCAGTCGCAAGGCACGCGGGAGCAGGTGGGATTCACAGGCCATTTTGCTGTTAAGATGAAAAGAAATTGAAAGAACGTATATGTTTTAAAAAAGATTTCCGTGGGGACAGTGGGATTGCTGCAACTCCATAATTAAGGACAAGCATATCATTGCCTTCAAGAACTGCCCCCAGGACCCTGCTGCCATCAAGGGATGATGCAAAGTGACAAGGAAGAAGGAGAGTTTTTTGTAGCAGAAGATTTCAGATCTTCAGGTGCTGCCGATTTTATCCGGATCTCCAGGATTAAAGTCCTGAACGTGGTGTTTGAAAATAATTGTTCATGTCAATGAGTAAATTTAAGCAGGGGGGTGGGGGGGTGGAATTTCACCTGAGAGCTTTGGTCACCCAGTTTATTTAGTGCAACAATGAAGACTAATGGAAATGGTTTTGCATGGCCTACCATAGTATTTTACTCACATTCCATGCATGATCTAAGGATTTGGACATGAAAATGCAGCTAATGATGAACTTGAGACTGCTAATTGGAAGTTGAGCCCAGAGAAATGCAAGTTGTCCCTAAAAGGGATAATTTAGTTTATTGGCACAGGAAATCTTTGGAAGCATGAAGGCAGGAGTTCTGTGTTGAGCTTTTCTGTCACAGTCAGTTCCCAGAGAGATACTTTAAAACTGAAATATCCCTACCGTTAGGGATATTTCCCTAAATATCCTTAATTGTCCTACTTGGAGACAAGAGAACTTCTATAGGTCTAGAGCAACTTCTGGACCAGGCTTTCCCCAGTGCTAAAAGTGGTGCTGCCCCTGCAAACTGCCTGTGAAGGTAAAAGTGGATGCGAGCAGCAGTGTAGTGGTTGTGCTTTGCACTGATTTGCCATTGGAAGAGGCGCTCCGTGAGTCCTGCACCAACTGTGCTGAGAGGGAGGAGAGAGCAGGGCCGGGGCTTCCCTGCCGTTCAGGTACTCGGGCATTAAACTCGTTGCTCACTTGGGTTTTTCCATGTCTGTTTTGTGTTCAGCTACTGTTTCACTACTGAGTGGAGTTCCTGCTCAGGAAGCTTACTAGTGTGAAGAACGTAGTAGCTTCTCTGAGGCATCATTGCTATTTCCATTTAGTTAAGCACAGGTTAAGATTGGCACAGCTTAAGATACACCCTAAATTAGTAATTTTTTTTAGAAAGAATACTTTGTGCTCTCAGGTGGGTTTTATTGCCTTGCACTGAGCATTTAGCTCTGTACTTGCCCTGTTTGCAACAGTTGTGAAAAGTTAGCTAAAGCAAGTCTCCATTTTAATGGCAAATGCAAAAGCATTTTTAAAAAAGGCACTAGAAACGTTAATTATCCTATAGCGATATGCATGTATGCAACTTTATTGACTCATAAAGTTACATTTTGCTCTGGCTTTCAGACTTGTGAATTTGATTTTTTTTTACATGACGGGATTTAGCAAATTTACTGTTAGTGTATTCCCACTAGCCAGAAAATCACATCAACATTTTGGCGATGAGGAGCAACCTGAACAAAACAGATAGTCCTGTTATTCCCAAAGTCGCAAATCTTTTACTTCTCTGATTGTTTCAAATAAATACACTTTGCATCCAAACAATGACAAAAAAGCATTTGGCTTAGTGTCAGATTGATTTGGAGGTTTTGAGCAGCATTTCAGAAGTATCTCACTTTCATAACTGGATGATACATGTCTTTCTCATCCTGCCAGAATCCACAGAATATGTAACCGGATTATCTTAAGTTTGTCTTATTTGGTTGCTCGTGTCTCCAAGGCCTCATGGTTTCAGTTGGTGCATCTTAGCACACAGCATCTGCACTCTTCTCCTGGCTTCTTTTAACAGGAAACACATCTGTTTTAATGTGTGTGGCTTACTGAAAATTGCAGTTGCAGCTGTAGCTGAAACTTCTCTCCCCATGAAGGGGATGTATTCTGCACTTCTATTGGTAGAAGAATTCAAAGTTACAAGAAGTCACAAGAAATCATTGAGGCAAGTAACAAACCTTTTTAGATTCAGTAGGCAGAGTCAGTAGGAAAGCTTGGATCTGTACGTGTTAGGATGCAGATTTTTACAAAAACAAAAAAATGTTGAAATAGTTGCAAGTGCAGAAACTCAACTCACACATGGCAGAGGTAAGCTCGGGTTCCTAAAGGGTGCACAGAGAGCAGCATGGCAAAACCAGTGAAAAATCCACCATGGATTTCAACAAGAAATTCTATTAACAGGAAACAATAGTTCAGTTATAATGCATATATATAATGAATGGCTATTGTGCTCTAATGTATGTAAGTGTTCCTTTTCTGTATAAATAGCAGAGATGTAGTGTAAATTGTGTTAATGTGTTTATACAAAACAGTTCTGAAGGCCGCATTAATGCTGCAAATTAAATGTTTTTCCAGAGGACTGTGTATTTAGAGACAGTTGTAGGTTTGGCACTTGTCAGTATCAGAAGCTTTCACTCCTGACTTCGCGCCTCGGTAGGTGTTTATCAGGCTTCCAGGCGGTTATCAAGCAAACTGCAGCTGTGTTTTACAGCCCAGCACAAATGGTTGTAAAGGATCCTTGTGGGCGCACGGTGAGCGTGGCCTGTGCGAGGCCGGGAATGAGGGACGCTGCATTTCCCGAAGGGGCCGAGCGCCGCGCGCCCGGCTCCGGGTGCAGCTCCCCTGCAGACCCTGCAAAGGATAAAAGGGAGAGGTACCAAAACCCTCCACCAGAGTGATCTGGTCTCCCCTCATCTGACTTTGCAAAAAGGCACCTTTGAAGGAGCAGCAGAAAAGCAGCAGTGTGTTTTCATAGCATTTAGATTTTCTTTACCAGCAACAAAAAATCCCTTCATAAGCAGGCTGGTCTAAAAAGGCACATGTTCCCCAAAGTTTCTGCTTGGGTGACTGCGACTTTGCAGGAACTGAAAGGAGGAGGAAAAAAGGATTGCTCTGGCTTGTATAAGAAATGAACCTTCGCCCAGTCACTTTTTGTCCATGAATAAGGTAACTTTCTGTGCGGGTGGAATTTGAAAGCAGGAAGGTATGTGGGTCTTTGCTCTTCATTGGTTCTCAGGAGCTGATCGGGGTTTTCTCCTTTCGGAGCAGCCCTGGAGTTGTGAGATAAAGCAGCTCAGGGAAGAAATTGTTCTCAAGCAGATGCTTTTAAGAGACAGAAATCATGAATTTCTTGAATTGCTACCACGCCAGGGGTGGCTACAATGACTTTTTGACAGTGACAGTAACTCTGCCGTGTCTTTTCGAGCCCTTCTTTGGCCCATTCACTCTGGAAAGCCGCTTAAGCGCACTTAAGCGCATTAGCATTTGGATGCTGGGGGACCGTATTGACCCTGGTTTGGAGAGTTTAAATGAGTGAAAGATGGAGCGGTTTGTCAGGGCTTTAGCAACCCGCTTTGGAGAGCGGCGGGTTTTCCGCTTTGGTTTGTTCGGGTGCTTGTTCTCATCTGCCGCCCTGTTCGGAGCTGGCTAGACTGATTGGTGACACATGAGCGCAAAGCGCTATTTTTTGGGGGGCTTGACCCGCTTAGCCGCTCTGTGCTCTGCATTTCAATGCGGCCCGCGCGGATTACCCGCCCGCACCTCGCGACACAGATGGCAAAACCCTAAGGACTCGTCCCGCGGAAGGCCAAGCGCGGGGTGACACCTGGCGCAGCGCCCAAACAGGTGACACCAAAGTTACATCTTCCCTGGTTGCAGCGAGCTGCTTTCAGCATCTTCCCTTTAAAAATTTTCAGCAGAAACAAAGGTTTCCAGGGCCGACCTGTGTCTGTGTTCGTGCGACCGGTTTTCTTTCCTAGTGGAAGTGATGCCCTGATAACCCCCACGCCCTTGAGAACGAGCACCTTTGCAAGCAGATGCTTTTTGTCTTTTAAAAAGTACATGCTTGGCATCTCCTTCAAATCAATACAGATTGGAGCGAGATGGAGAACAGACACGAGCTGCAGTTGCATAGCATGCACACAGTAATGAGTTAAGTGAGTATTTGTCCTACTCACAGGCTATTTTCTTAATGTTGCCTGTTTGTCTCCAAGTAGTAGTTCAGATTATTCTCCTGGATTTGTCAGAAGAGGAAGCCAGCTAATTTAGCCATGTTTTGTATGTTGACTTGCAGCAAGCTGTGCTTCCGCGTGGGCACAGGGCGATGCACGGGGTGGCAGAGCTCAGTAAAACGTGCAAACCGTTTTCCCTCTCTCCGTTTTCCCCTAGACGCTGTGTGCAAAGGCAACGATGCAGACGATCCGAGCGGCCGACACAAACGAAGTCGTCAAGCTCATATTCCGCGAATCTGATAATGATCGAAAGGTAAATAAATAACCTAATGCCCACTGCAATCCCAGCACAGAGAAGCGCTTCTGTGCATTGGCTTTCCTTCCTCCGAGGCATGAATATAGTTGTCTAACACTGGTGATTTGGAGGGCAGGTGGGAAGGGACGTGGGTTGTCGCACCTAATGCTCAGCTAATTGGGTGCATTTAGCTGATTGCTGCCCGTGAAGCACGCAGGCTGGTGAGGAGCCGGGGACATCCCGGCACCTGATGCGACTGCAAAGGGCTGTGCGTCCCCAGCGGGTCGCTGCTGCACGCTGCTGTCAGCATCGGGGAGCTTGGCTGACCTCTCTTTATTTCTCTTTTAGGTTATGCTGCAGCTAGAAAAGAAGCTCTTTGACTATTTTAATCAAGACGTTTTTAGAGATAACAATGGCACTGCGGTAAGTGTGTGGCTAAGCACGGCGGGAGGAACGCGCGGGAAGTGACATACACATTGCATCTCTTTATCCTTATCAATCCCTCTGTGCAGGGTTTTGCTGCAGACTGGCACTGTTTGGACAGTCATAGAGGGTTTTGCAAAAAGAGGAAGCAGTTGGGAGACACTAACATTCAGAGCTGTGATTAGAACAGTTTGGCTGTGGGGAATGATTTCATGCCCGCTTTAATGTGATTTTACTTCAAAGTGTGGCTACTTCATTTTGGAAAATCTCTGCACCACTGCTTGCTGATTTTTCCTAAAAGCTCCTAAGAATTATGGAAATAAGGAAAAACATTAAATGTCTACCCACATCTCTGCCAGCATGGGGACCAGCGTCACTGCTCTCGTGGCACAGGTTGTCCATGCATGGCATGCTCCCGTCATGAGAAGTGTCCATACAGACAGTTTATCTTAAACATAGATACTGAGAGAGAAGTATAGGTTAAAAAAAAAAAAGAGAGAGAGAGAGAGAAATCGGGGAAGCAGAAAACAACTGTGTTTTCACTGATATTTTTCTGGTTTCTGGCGCATTTAGTACTAGTACTCTTATTGCTATAATAATAACATGGATCCCAATTCCAGTTTCTACAGGCAAAATTACCATTCTAGGGCATTTTTTTAAAACTAAATGAGTCATTTTGATTTTTATTTTAGTGTGCGTTTGAGGCTGAGCAAAGTTAATCTGATTGCTGCCCCTCACTCTGTCCTAGCAGTATCTCAAACTGGTGGACTTGACATGCGTGGAAATAGGGTGTGTGGACATGGGCGGAATTGTGCCTATATGCACATTCTGCTCCAAATTCAGCAGTCATTTGGTTCATGCACCAGGAAGCAGGAAATCTTCCAGATTAAACACGGAAGAAAAAGATAAACGATATAATGAGCCATTGGAGATAATCTAATCTTCATGGTCTAGTTAAACACGCAGCACCATGATCACTAAAAACAAACTACCTATCTGGAAGGATGAATGTCTCTGAGCCGAATTCAACCCAAAAAATCCATCGCATCCTTCATCAACCGCCGGTCTTGTACCAGCCTGACAGAAATTTAATTCAAGCTGGCTCCTGAAAATAATTATTGTATTTTAAGAGTAGTAATCATTGGTCGGGACATGATTGAATGTGTCCATGCCTATTGACTTTTTCTATGATTTATAGCTTTGTTTAGTCGATATTCCCATCGAAATTGTATAATTAATTATAAGTGGGGCTGTCAGGTCTGCAGGATGGAGTGCCCTGATGAGTATTTGGGAAGATTAAATTTTCCTTAGCTGTACCAGTGCAAGGCTTGGGAATTTTCACAGCCCTGTGGCTGCTGGATAAAGATGTTTTCTGTGTGTTTAGCAGCTGCTTTAGCTCAAAATCCATTGATTTTTCTGAGTTTTTTTTTTTTTTTAACAGTGCAGTGTCTCTTCAGTAACAGTGGAATGTGTACAGATGTGACAAGACCTGACGAATATTTATTATCAACAGGCTACTTTATCATTGTCCATGCACAGTTATTCCTTCTTTTTTACGTTGTAATCAACAAAAAGAATCTTAAGATACATATAGAAATGGATATTTTTATGAAAAAATATGATACAAACTATCAGTTGGACAGAAATTCATTTTGAAATGTATGCAGTATTCTGTTAGGTCTATTTTTTTTTCTGAACTTCAGCAATTATCTATATTTTTTTCCCTCAAGGTGCGAAGACTGCTCTTTTATTTTGAGTAAAAGAGCAGCCGCCTTTATGTGTGTGTGTGTAGCAGTAAAAAAAAAAAAAAAAAGCAGCTCTATTTTCAAGCTACAGCAATAATGAAAAACTACTTTAATAATATTGAATCCACATATTCCTGAATTGCACATGGAGGCTGCAGCGCGTCAGATGAACCGGGGTGTCGCTCCGTCCCGTGAGGAAGCTCCGCGGTGCCTGGCTGCTTTGGGGAAGCTCTTACAGAAGGGAGTGAGACGTGTGGGGCAGCAGGAGCTGCAGAACATGGTGTTATATAGCAGCATATAGTGCTTATATAGCATTTAGTGATTATATAGCATTTAGTGTTGCACAAATTACAGTTGTTGCTTTTGAAGCAGAAAAGCTTGGAACTGCTAGGGGTGCAGGTGGGAACACCATGTTTTTACCTTTTCTTTTTTTTCCCAAATTCTTCTATTTTGGAGTTCCGCTTAATTTCAAAATACTCAAAAGAAAAGCAAATGGGGAATAGTTATTTAATTAAAAACATTGTGATCATGTTACTGATTTATACAAAAGAATCGTGAGTTAAAGGCTATTTCTTCAACAGTTAAATATATAATAAGAGTGTAAAATACCTGTAGCAACTACAGGACAATGATTAAATCATTAAGAATCATTAACCACAACCATAATCCTTAACCACAATCAAAAATGAGAAATGGTTCATACATTCCTATATTTCACATGAACCATATTAAAGGATCAATCCACATGGAAACTAATGTATTGTCGCTAAGAATTGGGCCATTACTGTCCAGTAAAAATAATCAATTAATGAGTTATCTTAATAGTTGGGCCCAATGTCATTTTCACAAAGATCTTAATGTGTTGTCCATGATGTTTGTGGACTGGGGTCTGTTTTGTAACTACCCAAGGAGAGAAGAAGGTGTGAGCTTCATGTTGTGCTCCTGTCCTCGCATTACAGAGAGCAAACAGCAAATTTCCATGGGAGGTTGTTTGATTTGAGAGCTGCAGGAGGCCAAATCGGTCCTTGAGGGTGGGTTCCCCTTATCCTGGGGGTCCATTTAGCTCAGACTAATACAATACGAGCAGAAGATTGGAATGTGTTATAAATAAAAATGGATGGAGTTATAAAGGTCTTGTTCTCGTATGCCAAGGAGTGATTTAAAGTTATCTATTATTGTACTGATTAGCTTAGAAGTGTTATTAAAAACAATTCAGGCAAATGTATCTTTAAATGATGAATAGTTTATTTCCAATTATTTATTTATTTTAATATTCCCAGGCAGTCCTGGAAGGATGTGAGGATTGAGGAGAAAGGCTTAATTCATGAGGGATGTTCATTAAGCTTTTTGTGAGGACACGTGCACTCCTGAAGGTTAAGGATCTGGCATCACTGAAAACGTATTAATCAAGAGGCAAGATATAGCACAATGCACTCTTCCCAGCGGCCTTGGCTCTGACCCTTTTAAAGATAATGGGAATACTGTCCACTCGGAACTAGATTAGGGCGATCCAGTGCATTTCATCAGGGCTTGACTTGAACCGTGGTCCCCAGGCAGAGAGGCAGAGGTTTATTCTCGGAGCCCTGTCCAGGTGGGATCTCAAGTATGATCTATTAGGGCAAATTAAGATAGGGGAAGCAAACTGCTTGGGATGGTGGTTACCTAGTGTGAGGCATAAGGCCATCCTCAGCACCCAGAAATTGCCCCTTTATTTCAGGCTGGTTTTGAAGGAGGTAGGAGGACGGCTTGGAGCTCCCCTCCTTGGCCCCAGCGCAGCGTTCCTGCGCGATGGTTGGGGTGACACGGCGCAGGCTGCAGCTGAGGGATGGCGGAGATGGGAAATGCTGTCCCTCAGTGCTGTCCCTGGCAGGGGGGAGCAGGACGCTGTGCTGGGAGCAGCGGGAGGGCAGCACAGCCGGCAGCTCGCTGCTGCGCCCCGCGTCGGGCACCGTGTCGCGCGGCCGCGGCCCCAGCGCAAAACGGCACACGCGGTTTCGTGGCCTCTGTGCTGTACAGCTTATTGGAGTCCTGGCCTAGTCCAGCACTTTGCTGTATTTGTATTTTAGCCAATTGTCCTTGTTTGAGTGTAGTCTGAAGATCTGAAGAGACAGTGGGTGTCGCTGCCAACCCTTGGAGGGTGTCTCTGCCCACAGAGCAACCTTGCACACCTTGCCCGGGGTCTGCAGCATCCAAACACACACACACTTGTGCGGGGGAAGCGCTTCGGCCCACAAGGAGAGTCCTGCCCAAGGAAGAAATGCGGATCATTTCTTTTAATCTTCAGGAAAGGTCTAGTTTTGTCACTGGACGTGTAATGTTAAAAATGCATTATTCATCATTCTACAATTCTGTCACATTGCTGCCCACAGACCTGCAATTTGACAGTACAATACATCCTACGATGTTAATTTCCTGATGGTACAAATTCATGTTATGCTTTGTAGTGACAGACATCTAAAGTTTGATAAACTAATCCAGTAAATCTGTCACAAGTAGGATGTTCCTAATTAAAATCATTTGTTTTTAAAGTTAGCATCCGCTCAGCCTTTCTTGCCACTTGAAATGAGCTAATTATCAGCTGCTGAGCACAGTTTATAATGCATATATCTTATACAGTGTAGTATAATTCCTTTAAAAAAATACAGTGGTGCTAAACCATCTATTACTGTAAGCTTTTTGAAAGGGTAATTTTGTATCAGTGCAGTTCAGAAACAAGGTTTCTGAAGTCAAAAGTGAAGGTACAAGCATCTAGCCAGGGAGAGGCCAGGGCATATGTGAGTATTAGTTACTTCTAAATTACAACAGGATTCTGAGAGAGATTGTTGAAAGTAATGAAAAGATCCAAAAATACATTTTGGCTTGCCTGCTGCATTTTGTAGATCCAGGGTGCATCGTCCTCAGCGCACCTTGCATGGATGCAACGTGATTTGATGACACTGCCCTTCAGGATGAATTCTCAGAAGTATGCAAAAATACAGTAATTGCAAAAGTTGTGTAAATGGTTCATTTATGTTTAATAATAAACATATTATTATGCCACATGCTCTAGATGACCCTGCGTGTTCCAGGGGGTTGGACTAGATGACCTCTAGAGGTCCCTTCCAACCTTAACCGTTCTGTGATTCTATGATTCTATGAATGTGTACTTTTTCCTGTGAAACTGTAGATTTTAGTGAACAACATCATGAGGAAAAGACAGTGAAGGTTGAGGAGTGGATAGGAATAGATAATTTTACAAAATCTTAACTAGAGAAAAAAGTTTTAAAATAAGGTCAGAGCTGAGTAGTGTATGACGTTTTGATAGAGAAGTGGGAGGAATGAGCATTTCCACAGACCCTTTATTTTGAAGTCAGCAGTCTGCTGAATCAGTTTCTGAATATGTTTTTTCCCTTTGACTGGAAAAGAGGATAAAATTGGTATATTTCCAAAGTCTTAAAAAAAAAAAAAAAAAACACTGTGTGCTACACCAGACTGGCAGAGGAGGCTACACTGGTCCGTGCCTACATACTTTAATTCTCTAAGGTCATTCCTGCATGCTTATCGCCTTTTTTGGCCTGAAACTTCATTTCCCTTTCACAGCTGTGAATTCCCAGGTGGGTCCTGCAGATGGGTTTGATGAATGCTGCTAATGTCACCTTCTGCTCTAACGATGCTCCCACTTTGGTCTGCAGGTCTTGATGAGTAATTGCCATTGTTCTACTCCAGTGACCAAATTAAGTCTCCTCATTTTAGTAGGTTCATCCTGTGGCACTTCCAGCCACGGCAGCTCGTTGCAGCCTGGTGATGGCCGTTGACCTTTCCAGGGTACCTCCTTGCTTTAAACTGGAGCGAGCAGAGTTGCCTTGATTTCTACAACTGTCTAAACTCTGTTATAATCCTGTGATTACTGTCAAGCCAAATAATAGCCAAATTTAGTATTCCAGTTAAGTGTTACCTTTGGCCAGAGCCTTCATCGCGTTCTTCTTGCTCAGTGGTGTGTGAGCACTGCATGCTGCAACGCGTCTCCCATTCGCCTCCACCTTTTCATGTAAATAGATGTTCCATGACAGTTTGGCTTGGAAAGGAAAAGGAAGGAAAAACCCTCTTTCAGCAGCTTTTGCAGGCAGATGGAGAAACGCTGGTTTCCATAAACACCTCAGAAGATGTCGGAGCTGCAGCTGACCTGCACAGCGACCCTGGGACATCCTCTTTGCAATTGCTGTCACTCCCCAATGCCAAGTCCTCAGCACAAAAAAAAAATCATTAATAAGCAGCAAATTCCCACTCAAAGACACAGGAAATACCTTGATATAATACCAGCAACTCAAAGATACTACTCCAGATAAAACCTAGGCCCTACGTCATCCTTGCTGTCTTCTGCTTCTAAATGCATTGGTGAGATAGATCTTGGGAAAAAACGCTCTTCTGAACTGCCTCTAACATATAGGTCTCGAGCTAACTTACAGCTGCAGTATTTTAAAAATCTCTGTGCAATTGCTGGAGTTATCCATGTGCATCGTGTCACATGCTGAAGGTTTGGTTCCTAAGGATGATCATATAATGAGTAAATTAAATGGAGCAATACGTTGATTTTTTTAGGCTTTAAAATAAATTTCTTTGTCATTTCCATGTCATTTAGAGGGAACAGACATATTCATGATTACCGTTGCAGCAAAGATATTATTCATGCTGATGTTTAATATACAGTATGTAAATAACTGAGAAGTTGTCCTGAAAATTGGCTTGAATAGAATGTACTTAATATTAAAAAACAATGACATTACCCTGTATGCACTGGTACTGAATGAGTCTATATTAATTTTTATTTATTAGCTCCAGTGCCAAGGAAATCTATCCCCCCTGTAGTTCCCATAAAGCAGATAGGGAAGATGAAGTGAAGAGGTCCCTGCGCCAGGTCCACTCCTGCACCAGGGTTGGCAGACAGAGCACTGCAGTATTAACACCCGGTTATGACAGGGACCCGGGAACACCTCAGCTTTGCACTAACAACTTTGCATTTTGAGAAAATGGCCTTGAGTGGGCCTCAAGTGCTCATTAAAAAATAGTAAGAATACTGAAAAGGCAATAGCTAAAACAAGGTCTTGCATTCACCTGGGTTGTCTCAAGTTTTTGGCGTTGCCATTGCAGGTTCACAGATAACCCAGAACCTGGAGAAGCCTGGGGACTTGCAGACAATGCAGCGGACAATGCAGCCCTGTTCCTATTGTGTCACCTCTGTCTCCAGAGGCAGCAGCTCATCTGCATAGCAGAGGACACAGCCAGGCATCCAACTCGCGCCAATAAAAATACCGGTGTCATGAGGACCGTAACCTACATGTCTGAGTACTTGGTCCTCTAAACCCATTTAATCCTTAGTCCCTGTCCTTCTTTTAGTTTCCAGATATCCTAACAATTTGAATTGAGAATGATTTGAATGAAGGAAATTTGGAATTATTGAGTTAGCAAGAGGACAATGCATCTATTGAACATCTGCAGCTTCTCGTGAGCAGTTTATACCATTGTGTTCTGGGAAGCATTGTTCTGCTCCGTGCCCACAGCTCCATGCATCAGAAATAGCCCTTTTTCTGAGGCTTCCACTCTCTTACAGTGACATTTTTGCTTGGTAAGAGTAGGGGGAAAAAAAGGAGGAGTTACATTAAAAGACATCTATTTCAAAGAAAAAAAAATACCGTAATGCTAGATTTTTTTCTATGCTAGGTTCCTCTTGTGCCACTAGTACTTCTAATGGTGGAGATATTTGGAAAAGGATGGTGCCATTTATTTTCTTAGCCAGTTCATATATATGTATAAAGTCTACATGGCTCTCTGCACATACTTAAACGCAGAATCACAGCCGGAAAGCATGGGTGTAATGAATCATTTTTCTCCTAAATGTATGTATGTTGTGAAGCCTTTGGGATTACGTGTATAAGAATAATAGCTGACCTGAACATACAGTTTTTTAGGATTTCCACACATTTTTATCAGTGTTTTTTGCAAAGTTCTTACATTTGGAGATTTAATCCATTTTTAATATTATTAAATTGATATTATCAATCACTGTTATTACATGCAAAGTACCTGCAATGACTTAGGCTGCCGAGTGTGTCCCGGGCCGGTGCCGGGAGCTGGTGAGAGCTGCTGCAGGCCGGGTAGGCTGTGGGGCTGCCGCCAGGCAGCGGTGCAGGTGGTTCAGGTAGCTGCTTTTCACACCAGTAATTAATGTGTACAAGCAGCTGCTAATTGCACATTTCAGGAATGATTTACGAGGCAGCGGAGGGGGAAGAGGGACACGGTCTGGTTTCTCCAGGAACCTCTGCCATCCGTGCAGCGGTGTCGGCACAGCTGCGAGGCGGGCAGTGATGGATGGGCAGCAGGACTCGCGCCGGCCGCGGCGGCCGCGGACCCCCTTTTCGGCCGTGGCTCCCCTCGCAAGACGCGCGGCCCCTCGCGCAGCGGGTTGCGAGCTCCGCTGCGCTCGCCTGCGCCAGGCAACGCTCAGGACGCTTGTTGCGTTGATGGGCTCTTACCATTGACTTCATGAGGACAACTTTGTACACAAAAAAACACAGAGATTCATATTCTTTGTGGAGGCCCAAGGGAAAATGAATTTGACAAGAACAGGATGTTAAACCTAGAACATCTCTGTTAAATATGTGCTGGTGGGACTACCTTGGCTGCTGCCTGCGAGCACGTTCTATGCATGGCCACCTATCTCTTCTCCTGCTATCGGACCTGCACCACCCAAAATAGGTGTATGAAAACACTGCTTGTCTTTGCTCAGGAAGAGTGATTTGCACATCCCCATGTTTATTGTACCTGCTTATCAGGACTAAAGATAATATGAAGTAATGTGATACTTCTGCTGACTTTTTTTGTGGGCTGATTAGCAGGTCAATTTGCTGTACTTCTGGTTTATCTTCAGAAAGATTGCTACTAAAATTGGAAAAAAATAGCTGTCTCAAAAGAGCCATGTTACCCGTTTCATTGAGGTGAAAAGGAATGTTTTTAACATTTTTCTCAATGAACTATTTATTTATCAGAATAGTTTTGCACTATGTTCTAAAAATCCATATATGCAGGATAGACCTCAAGCGATGTAATCGAAGTCTTTGTTTACTTCATTTCTAATAATTTAGTATTTTTAGATTACTTCCTTTCAACATTAAAGAGTGAATATTTCCATTTCTATTTTTTTACAGCTTTTAGAATTTGACAGAGAGTTGTCAGTCTTTAAAGACAGATTGTATGAACTGGATATCTCATTTCCTCCCAGGTAAGATTCATATATAATACATTTATTTAATTATCTTGCTAAAATATAATGCTGTATAATCACTGCAGGTAAAATCTGGGTGTCCATATATGTGTTGTAGAAATGATCACGGTCTTCACTCCCTTCATAGTAGCTATTCCTAGGCACTAAACCCTATTAAAACACTTAATTGCAAAGTGACTCTTTGCCTCAATTTGTTCAAAACTGCCTAGCAAGTGACACTCAGAGAGAGAGACTTGCAGGAGTGGCAGTGCAGAGCCATGTGCCATTGCTCAAGGTGGATCAAGAGATATAGCAAGAAAGAGGACAAGAATGTAGCTTCTGCCTTTTTTTTCTTTTTCTTTAGTAAACATTATAAGCGTAAGACTGTTAGAATAATTTGGCTTTTAAAATGCACATATATGATTTTAAACTAATATATCCCCTTAACTGAATTTTAGTCATTACTGAACAAAACCAAGATATTTGTAGATTATAGTCTATTTGGAAGAAGTCTAAGGGAAAAATGTCTCTCTTGCTTCCGAGAAGCAAGGAGTCACATCACATGGTTGCGTTAAGGGAAAGAAATGCTCTATTCACAAAGAAAGCTAATGTAAAGCATGTACAAGAAACCATGCAGAAGAGACTTTTTATACATGTTTTTATATATATATGTCTATTTGTATCTACTTAGGTATATATAGATATCTGTTAAATCAGATGCAATATTCTTCAATCTTGATATGTTGTCCTTCAGCAAGAGAAATAAAAGCGTAATGTTTTGGCATACACTGGGAAAAATTTTGGAAGACTCGCCTTTTCGTTATCATAATCTCATTATTTCTGACCAGCCAGCTGCGATGCTGATTATATTGATCCCTCGGGACACAGGCAGTATGCATGGAGAGGTTACCACTGCTCTAAATTGTTCTTATTGATTGAGCATGATAACAGAAGATGGGCAGCGTGTGCTTCTCTGAGTGCATTTCATTGGTTACGTACGTGGTGAGGGGAAAGGAAGCGAGGGGTGGGTATTTGCTAGAAATACTCTGTCAATGGATTCCACCAAGTTCCTCATATTCATAGCTTTGCCGACCATAACTATGTGAGCTTAGATTTTCTTGCTTAGTAACGAAAATTCTTGGAAAAACTCAACCAGAGTAGTGCGTCAGCTTGCAAAAAAAAAAAAAAAAAAAGTGCAAGTGCAAGCAAACCTTGCATCCAGAACAACGCAACCAAAAAAAAAAAAAAAAAAAGTTGTCCTATGTATACATGCAGCTTCTTTGTTCCAGAGCAAAGATTTGAAATTTAGTGTTAGTAGTCCTTGGGTCTAAGTTTGTATTTTTGCCCTCTCTGTGAAATGATGAGAACTTTTGGCCAAGTCACAAATAGGCGCAAATCTCCATAGAGATTTCTGTTATTATTTTAGTGGCCAAGTTTCTTGCAGATTGCAGCTAGAATGGACACAATGCAGGACATAATTGCAGCAACTAGGGCCAACCCCTGTGAGGTTGTGGGCAAGTAAAAGGAGCCTTCTTTTCCTGTACTTCCAGCTGGAGCAGGCAGAGCAGGGGAAACCTCCATGCGTGAAACACAGACTGACGAAAAACAGAACCACATGGAAAGCTGTATCTGTAGTAGAATGGGAAAGTAACAAGGAGGGGAAGAAGGACTAGAGCAGTTGCAATTGTGTGAGGGAGGACAGTTCTTGGTACTGCTTAAACTAATGTTGATTGAGCAAGAAGACTACTACAGAAGCTGGCTGGATAGAGGATTGGGGTAAGAAAAATGGGAGCTGGAAAGAAAGTGGTTGCAAAAAGTGAACAGGAATTAGAAGTAATCAAAAGATAATGTGGGAAGAGAAAAAGAGGTCCCATGAAGAGCTGGAGCAGAGGAACTGTGACTTAATGGATGAGAAGCCACATAGGCAAGTGAACAAGCACTAAGGTCCATGGTAAGGATGTGGGAACAAAGGTGGGGTATTCATAGGAACTGAAAACTGTGGGGAGACGGAGAGAGACGTGCAGGAGAAAGGCATAGCTGGGGGTCAGTAAAAGGAAGCCTGGGACCTAGACTGGATCTCCAAGCAAGGAGACCAGGACTCGTAGGAGAGCAAAACTTCAACAGGTTGTGTGAGCCAGGCTGGAGAAGAGGAAGGGCTGTCCGAGGATGGTTTGGAGCACAGCAGGGGAGCAGTCTGAAGCTGTAGGCAAAGTAAGATGACTACTGGACATGGAGTGTGACAAGGAGTGGGTCTCACCTTGCCCTGATTGGAGCAGGTAAGTGGGAAGAAAGTGCTGGGTTCCTGCCTCATGCTGATCCACGAAGAGGGTGGTGAGGCGCTGCTCTGCATCTCTGATAGACACGGGCGGGAATCTGCCCATACCAGCCCAGTGGTAGCCACTGTGCATATGTGCCACCTGATGACATATCTGGAATTTCAGCTTGATTTTCTTTAATCTTGACTATAAGGGGGAAAGGCTAATGAAAATTATGATCACAGATTGTATGGGATTTGCTTTGGGGACAAAAATGAAGCATTGAGTGTGTAAAGGGTTTCGCTTTGTGTTTTAAACATCGGAGGCTCAAGCACATGGGGGGCACCAGCAGGCTGCGATGCAGCGGCTATCCCATGGCCAAAGGGAGCTTGGAAATGGCTTAATGTGAGACCCTACAAGGAAATGAAGTTGTGGGCGAGGGGGGAAATGGAAGGTGTCAGACAAAGGAATTAGAAGTTAAATTGGGAATAAACAAGAGAGCTTGTCAGAGCTATAACTGAGAACTGCCAGAGCGTTGTTGAAACAGCAGCCAGAGTTAATGTGTTTCAGGGGAATTGAAGGGGAGGAGCAAATTAACAGAGCAAGAAAAGCTGAATTAAAATATTAGTCACCCACATTTGTACTCTCTGCTGTCTTGGTATCCGTGACACACAGCGTTAACATCCAAATGGGGTATTCTGACCCCATTAAGATGTTAACCTACTGTATCTACCAGAAAAATAAATAAAGTGCTACACTGCAGAGGACACTGCAGTAAAACCTGCAAGAAAGGTGAAAATGTTGCATCCCCCCAAATCCCTGTGATAGTTCAGGCCACAGATGTAACCCAGATTTTGACTTCGTCTTCCTAGTACAAGGACACCGATGAACGAAATACCCTGTAACAGGAGCTAAGCCTTCACCCGCATGCACTTCACTGCTGTTTTTATTACTTATTTTTAATTTCTTGCAAAGCCAAAGCCAGATTTGGCTCATGTCCTCATGTTTTCCTGCATACCACCAATGTTAGAGATGATATTGCTCCAGCCTGCAGAACAGATGATCTCTGTGTCCAGGTGGGAGCCAGCACCTGAGCATGGCCCTCTCCAGTGACTCCTGCAGCCCCTTTCCACCACAGAGGGCCACCAAACCCCAGCCCTGATTTCACTCTGAATCCTCTGGCAGGAGTCTCATGCCCCCAGGTCCATAGTCCTTGCATAGTCTCTGAGTTAGGAGAAGCTTTCCTTAAGGAGAAGTAATGGGGAATGGGAATCACTGTCGTTAGCCTTCTTGTAGGGCAGTGACATTCATGAAGCACCTTGGTGTTGCTGCAAGGTTTATTTTTATTCCTGTTGAAATAGGGTCTTCAGTGCACTATTAGTGTTAAAACATTTTACTATTACTGTTAAAACATTTTTTTTTTGACTAGGCAGAAAGCAATGTCTTTGCTATAAGATCTTTTGTTTTGTTTTCCTTAGACCCTTTTCACTCAACCAAGAAAGAAATGAAAAATATGGCCTCTTTTGATTTAATTTACTGGCTGTTTTTTCTCCATTTTCTCCACATTTTTCCTTCTCCTATGGAAAACAAAATATAAACTCCATTTGCCATATCCTCAGTCATACCTGATGTCGTATTTTAACCAGAGAAGAGGGTTGGCCCTGCACGTGCAGCAGCTGCTCCCTGAGGCAGGTTGGCCGTCGTTGCTGCGCGGTGCCTGGTGCAGCGAGCGCAGCCGGGTCCTCTGCCCCAGAGACGCATCTAAACTCACCCTCTGTGTCAGGCCTAAGGGCTTAGCAAATGAGCGCATGCATTTAGAAGGAAGTTGTGAGAGATTGCAGTGATAGCCTTAAAGAAGTGTTTCAGGTCTGTTTAGTTAGTGAATTTGTGTTAGCTTTTATGACAGCAAACACTTAAATATAAAAGCCTTGGCTTTATGAGGTTGAGGAAAAACTTGTTGGACCACAAGTCTACCTTTATTGTTCTCTTGTGTTTTGTCTTTCTCTTCAAATCCAATGATAGGTGCCCTGCACAGCATTTCCTAATGCAAGTACTAACTGCTCAAGCTTTAGTATGTTTGGACAAATGTCAGCTGTAAGTTGTTATAATAAATAACCGATTTATCCTATTTTATTTTTTTCATACAAAATACGTAAGTACAATTTTATCAAAGTAAGATGGGCTTTTAAAAATTCGTTTCACATATTCAAACCAAAGATCAGAGGCAACCCTGCTAAGGCAAAATAGTAGTAGCCTGTTATTTTAATACAAAATGCAAACTGTCAGAGATGCTACATGATACTCTTTCCTCGGGTAATACATGATACTCAGATACTTTAATTCTGGTCCATTCATTCAGCTGGATTTCTGTCTCTATCTGCGCTCTCGTTCCATAGTGTTGCTGCATCATATCTTGCTTCATGAGATGTTGGCCAGAGATCAAGGGCTGAGTATCTCAGTTTAAATGTTACTGAATGTGCTTAATGTGGATCCCACATCTCTCAAAAAAGGAATGGTCAGTTAGGACAACTGTTTTTGATTTTCATTTACTTCATCATTTGTGCATATATTTAGTAGCCAGATTTGCACCTTGAGTTCTGCAGCTTAACTCCTGGCTCACTTTCTTTTTTCCCTCAAAAAGCTATGTTATGCTTAAGAGTCAGTGTGCTCTTGCGATAAATGGGAAAGGTCACATCCATTTGAGTTGCAATGAACTAAGTTACTTATAAATACATTTTTTATAAGCATAAATTGTTTATTCTC